ACATCATAGACCTGACCACCTGTAGACCCACATCATAGACCTGACCACCTGTAGACCACACATCATAGACCTGACCACCTGTAGACCTCACATCATAGACCTGACCACCTGTAGACCTCACATCATAGACCTGACCACCTGTAGACCTCACATCATAGACCTGACCACCTGTAGACCCCACATCATAGACCATGATGAGGGCATGACTTCACCTGCCTCTGATGCCCCATCACTCTGGAACAGGGTCTAATCTGGACTCTTCAGACCTTCTTCCATGGCTCCAGAGTCCAACCTTTATGCTCCCTCACAAACTGAAGCAGTTTTCTCATTAGCCTCACTGATCAGTGGTTTTCTTCAGACCACACAGCTGTTCAGTCCCAATCCCTTGAGTTCTCTTCACTTTGTGTGGAAAAGCTTTAACTTTAACTATTAAAGACTGGGGGCGGCTGTGGCGGAGTGGTTAGGGGAGTCGTCCTGGAACCAGAAGGTCACTGGTTCGATCAGCCGTCTCAGTCGTTGTGTCCTTGGGCAAGACACTTCACCCACCTTGCCTACTGATGGTGGTCAGAGGGTCCGGTGGCGCCGATGCATGGCAGCCCCACCTCTGTCAGTGTGCCCCAGGGCAGCTGTGGCTACAGTGTAGTTTGTCATCATCAGTGTGTGAATGTGAGTGTGAATGGGTGAATGTCTGTTAGTGTAAAGCGCTCTGGGGTCCGGAGGGACTTGAAAAGCGCTCTATAAGTCCAGTACCATTTACCATTTACCATTTATTAAACATAGCTCTGAGTTCTTCTGTTGTCTTTCTTTGGTTTGATGTCACCATCACCATCATTCAGGATTATTTTCCAGCCACATTTCTTCCTCAAAGACGATGTGTCCCCACTATCCTTGCACTTTTTAATAATGTGTTGGATACTTCTTAACCACATTTTAGTAGTTTCTGCAGTCTCCTTAAGGCCCTGTCCCACTATACAACTTATACCAACTTATGAACATTTTAAAGATGTCTGCACTGAAGATGGAATTGAAAAAAAGTCAACATGAAGCTTCTTTTAGGTGTGTACAAAATTTAATTCTAAAAATTGATGAAATATATAACTTTTATTAGCAATTTAGATATAAAAAGAGTTTAATAAGATGTTTAGTGTGACAGAGCCTTTAGATGATTTCTCTGCTTGATGCCAATGATTTGACCCTTCTCAATCACACTGATATCTTTTCATTAACCATAAAAAGCAACTTATTGTACCAGTTGGAGTAAATAACTAGTTGCCAGCTGAAAGATAAACACACATACAGTAATTATCCAATAGGAGGCTTGTACCTATTTGATTAGTTACATCCAGGTGGAGACTTTTTTTGGGCCAGGCAGTGTATGTTATTATTTAGTTACCAAACTCCACCCACATCAGCTCATTTTGTATAGTTTATAAAGTATTTGTATCTGATTTGTCCTGACAGAGAGAGCTTTCTGCAACAGGTAAGATAGTAATTCTTCATGACCTTTCTACAGAACCCTAATTTAAAGGATCTGAACAACACTTTAAATGAACTAGCCTTACAGCAAAACTGAATAACAAAGATTTAACAAATCTGTAGAATTTAAAAGTTTGCCTCCATTTTGCTGAACGTTAACTAAAACAATAAAAACTAATTTAAAACCTAACATAAGTGTCAGTCTGAAGAATGTAAGAACTGACAAACAAATGCAGAAAACTTTTATTATTGGATTTTATGGTTTGTAATATTATTTATTTTTGAAAAATACAGGCAGATATGATTTTTTTCTTCTGCTACCTTTCATTTCATTTGATTTGTATTTTTGTTGTATGTACATTTGTTTTGTTTTTAAATGAAATGAATAAATAAATAATTAAAAAACTTAATTCAATTAAGAAAAATTTAAAACTTACTGCCTTCATGGCAGTGCCAAAGAACAGATCTGTGAAGAAAAAACAGGCAGGTTCAGAGAGGTGAAACCTTGTAGCTGCTGACTCATTTAACCATCCTGTATCATCTACTGGTCTTTACTGGGACTTACTATCACCAGGGTCTCGACAGGTGAAGCTGCATCCTTCCAGCTCTAACAACAGATTCCGTAAGACTTGGATCTTAAGGAAGCCTGGAGAGGAAACACAACTTTGCTCAGCCTGAGTGGGCTCACAGACAAACAGCTGACCATCAGTCTGAGTCCAAACAAGGTGTACCGTGAACGTTCATGTGCAGTAAGTGGTTGTAGGTGGCCAGGCTGGGAGCTGACACAGGAGAGAAAACACATCAGGTTCTGTTACAAACAAACAAACAAACAAACAAACAAACAAACAAACACACAAACAAACAAACAAACCAGCCAACCAACCAACCAACCAAACCAACAAACAAACCAACCAACAAACCAACAAACAAACAAACCAACAAACAATCAAACCAACCAACCAAACCAACAAACAAACAAACCAACAAACAAACAAACAAACAAACTAACAAACAAAAAACAATAAAACCAACAAACCAAACCAACCAACAAACAAACAAACCAACAAACAACAAACAATCAAACCAACCAACCAACCAACCCAACAAACAAACAATCAACAAACAAACTAACAAACAAAAAAACAATAAAACCAACCAACCAACCAACCAACCAACCAACAAACAAACAAACCAACCAACCAACCAACCAACCAACAAATAACAATCAAACCGACCAACCAACCAACCAACCAACAAACAAACCAATCAACCAACAAACAAACAAACCAACAAACAAACAAAAAAAAAAACAATCAAACCAATCAACCAACCAAACAAACAAACAAACTAACCAACCAACCAAACAAACCAACAAACAAACCAACAAACAACAAACCATCAAACAATCAAACCAACCAACCAAACCAACAAACAAACAAACAAAAAACAATCAAACCAACCAACCAACCAACAAACAAACAAACAAACAAACAAACAAACAAACCAACAAACAAAAAAACAATCAAACCAACAAAAAACCAAACCAACAAAACAAACAAACAAACCAACCAACAAACCAAACCAAACAACAAACAAAAAAAACAATCAAACCAACCAACCAACAAACAAACAATCAATCAAACCAACCAACCAACCAACAAAAAAACAATCAAACCAACCAACCAACCAACCAACCAACCAACCAACCAACCAACCAACCAACCAACCAACCAACCAACCAACC